GCGCTTCGCGCCCATCTTCTAAATTAATTGTGAACATGTTCTCTTTGTGTACATCGTAAAACAAAACAAAAATAATTCGCGGATTTTCACAAAAAATTTTGTGGATTTTCAAAATTTTAAAAAATTTAATGAAGATCGAATTTTGATGGAGACAAATATTTAAATTTTTGATCATTCATAAACCTTCCCTGTGGTCACGTGATGTCCCACAAAAAATTTGGGCCTGATCGGTTCAGCCGTTTTGACGTTTATTGGATACAGACAGACAAACAAACAAACAAACAGACAGACAAGCCAAATTTATATATAGATTAGATACTATTTCTCAATGTCATTTGGCGAAGCTTATTTTCACAATCAGATTAGACAAATTTATGGTATTAGATACTATTTCTCAATGTCATTTGGCGAAGCTTATTTTCACCAGATTGCCTAGTGAGGCTGTTTAATACTTTGCAAAATGACATTTTAGTCCAGATCATGACTATTATAAAAATTTTAATCGTCTCCGGCAGCATCAAATTCTTCTCCAAAGCCTAAACAAGTCATCTACCTGCTCCAAGGTTTTTTCCCCCAGAAAGTACATCCTGATGGAGATAAGTAATGCAGATCGGATATCTCCTAAATGACCATTTATCAATCAATAAATCAAACGAAAAGTAAACAAACATTTTTTAACCCCAGTTTTCTTATCAATAAATCAATCAAACAAGCGAAAAATCACTTAACAGTAAATCAACTAATCAATCCAGTTTACATTAAAAGCAGTGTTTAGGATACATTTAATTTTAATGCGGATCCGGATCCTGGATCCGCACTGGAAAAAAATGTATCCGGATCCAGGTCATTTCTTAAAGATTTACTGAATTTTTTAACAAAAAATAATTTTCATTTTTTTTTTTTTTTTATTTTTTTTGGCTTATTTTTATCCTAAAACTTAATGAACCATTCAGAAATGAGGAAATTTTTATAATCTCTTTTTTTTTTAAAGTTCTGAGTTGGGTTTAATGAGTAAAAAAGTTGTTTTTGCAGTTTTTGGTTGATATTTTACCCTTTGGATCCGGATCCTAAGCTCTGCTTAAAAGAAAATGGAAAAGTTTTTAATTTTGAATTTAATCAATAATCAATAATTACCTTCATGCAAAGCCAACAAAATTCACTCCCACAGACAGCACAGGTCATATGGTTACAGGATCCTAGGCAATAGAATAAAGTTAAAGGGTTTTAATTTGTGAACAAAATTAGGCTCCCCCCCCCCATCCTCATTGAATTACACATAAATTGTATTTCAGTTTTGACAATACCACCATTCTTTAAGGACTGAAGAGGATATAAAATATATCGAAATTTATTTCCAAACCCGAGTTTTTCTACCTGTGAGAGTAAAACCAGTTTGGACAATTTACATAAATTATATTAAAAGATTTTGACAAAGAAATTAATTAATTGGAAATGAACTGTAAATTCATGATACTTCTCTTCCGAAATTTCTGTAATTTTTTACATTTTTTAAAATCCCTCTAATATTGAAACTGTGGAGTATAACGATCGACTGTAACACTTATGTTATGATTTCCTAAAGTCCAATGAACACGAAACACGTTAATTGAGCTGTGGTCACTGTTCATAAACCCATTTCATTTGATTTAAATTGATTTTTTATCTACCATTAAACCTATTTGAATTTTAATTGTTCCGAACGTTGTCTTCTAATTAAACAGTTTTATGTAGTAAGTGTTCATAATGTTCTATATATACTATTTAGATTTATTAAAGATTCAATCTGAATATTTGCTATTATTATTAGATCCTGAAAGCATACTTATTATGATATCTAAAAAACCTATTAGAATTAGAAGTAACTCTATGGTTTTCTGAATCTTAGGGGAAAATTTAAGAAAAAATTATGGCCCCAACAAAAAGCTTTAGTTTTCTAAAAAACTCAATTTCTTCAATTCAAATTTTAAATTTTTAAAACATAGCATGGAAATATTTAATCTTTGAGAGGTGGTGGTGGTTGTGGGGGGGGGGGTTTTCGAGAAAATATTTACAATATTTNAATATCTGATACATTCTTAATCCATGAATATCTCAATATCTCATGCATTCTTAATCCATGGATATCTCAATATCTCATACATTCTTAATCCATGGATATCTCAAAATCTCATGCACTCTTGATAAGGCAAAGTTTTAAAGTGCCGTTATGAATAGGAAGAGAAAGTAACTTGAAAAATGTCAACGACTCCTATTATTCACAAATTGTAAAAACTGCAGAACTAAATCAAAACCATAAGATATGTAGATAAAATGTACCCTAAATAAAAAACTTTGTTTTGCAAGAAAAACCTACTCTTGAGAACTGAAATAACAATATAAAATCTAATTTAAATTCATGAAAAGGTTTAGAAAGGTGAAACCTCAAAAGGCAAACATCTAATTTTCTCAATCTATTTTTCAAATATTTTGGAATGACTATGAATTTATAGAATGCTTTTTGTAACTTAAAAAATAGATTTATCAACAGAAGTAGTAAATTTTTTAACAAAAAATAACTTAAAAACTCAGAAAGCCGAGTGTTAAAGATCAAATGAAAATCATTATACGTTTTTTTAGATCTTTTTCCAAAAATATTTTCAAACAATTTTATCTACTTAATCAACAAATTATTGGAATAAAAAAGAATAACAAACTAATTCATATATTCAAAATGGACAGCTCTTGTTTGAATTTATTGATTGTTTAATAAATTGTATATTTGTATAAATCTTCATGATTAATCATAATAAAATCATTAACAAATAATATGATACCTGATTGGATGCCGCTGTGCTCTAGCTTTGTCACAAGTTATATTAGGATGCCATTGTGCTTTACAGTGATAACAAAAGGAGAAATCACAACCCTCACGTTCACAATCAATTTTGGGACAGGAGGCACATCCTGCAAATATTACATAAATCAATCAATTTTGGGACAGGAGGCACATCCTGCAAATATTTAATCAATAAATCAATCTTGGGACAGGAGGCACATCCTGCAAATATTTAATCAATCAATCAATTTTGGGACAGGAGGCACATCCTGCAAATATTTTATCAATCAATAAATTTTGAGACAGGAGGCACATCCTGCAAATATTTAATCAATCAATCAATCTTGGGACAGGAGGCACATCCTACAAATATTTAATCAATCATTCTTAAAATTTGCAAAATATTTAATCAAAGAAAAACCATTAAATGTGAAAATATTCTAATTTGATAAAAAAAATCCAAGAGGAGACTTCTTATAAATCAATTTTTTTAGACAAGTATTTTCTTTTTAAACTGGAATAAGAGGTGGTGAATCTTGTATGTTGTAAGTTCTTATCTTAACCCAATTTTATCAATTTTTACTGATTTCAATATTAAAGAACTGTTTTTATTATTAAAGTTAAGAAACTGTTTAGTTGGTAAACACTATAATAAAAATAATAATAATAATAATAATAATAACAACAACAACAAGATCTGAAAGGGAACCAGAATAATCAATTATTAATAGAATAATTAAAGTTACCTGTAGCAACTACAGCAAATGTACAGTTAGGAGCAGGACACCATCTAGCATAACAAAACATTATTAAAATAAGATATTAACAAAACTAAAAAGGCTGTCAGACTGTCAGTGTTGTTGAGATACTTGAAAGCTATGTGAACCTCTAAAAGAATTTTAATATTAAGATATCTTGATATATTTTTACCACCATTGGTTCTCATATTGATAAAAATGTTTAGATCAAACTTCTGATTGTTTGATTCATATTAAATAGAGGGCATAATTTAAAGAGTAGCTAAAGACGAATTTTTCTGAATGACACTCCCCTCCCCTCCCTGCTACAGAGGTACCCACAAAATATAATAACGCCCTCAACATATAATTTTAATTTATGTCTTAGAAATTGTCATGTTCAATGATTTGGCCATTTGGCCTGTTTATGGCTGCAGAAAACCTATAATGCAAGACTGATTAAATACTGTTACAGTCGTCACTAAATTCTCATCTTTTGTGGGTAATCCTGTATTTGATGAGAAGCCCCCCCCTTGCATACCTAGTATCCTGTATTTGATGAGAAGCCTTCCCCCCTGCCTACCTAGTATCCTGTATTTGATGAGAAGCCCCCCCCTTGCATACTTAGTATCCTGTAGTTGATGAGAAGCCTTCCCCCCTGCCTACCTAGTATCCTGTATTTGATGAGAAGCCCCCCCCTTGCATACTTAGTATCCTGTAGTTGATGAGAAGCCTTCCCCCCTGCCTACCTAGTATCCTGTATTTGATGAGAAGCCCCCCCCTTGCATACTTAGTATCCTGTAGTTGATGAGAAGCCTTCCCCCCTGCCTACCTAGTATCCTGTATTTGATGAGAAGCCCCCCCCTTGCATACTTNCTGCCTACCTAGTATCTGGGTCTGCCCCCCCTGCATACCTAGTATCTGGGTCTGCGGCAAGAACCCGTCTAACCATGAGGAACTGGTATAGCTGGAGTAGGGCAGTATCATCTCCAACTAAGAACTCTATATCGTTGGGGTGAATCAGCTGACAGCACTGAGGACACTTCAGGTTGGCTCGACCCTCCTGGATCTCAATTCTAAACAAAGATGGCGCTGATTTTAATTTTAAACAAAGATGGCGCTGAGTCAATTTTAAATTAAGATGGCGCTGATTTCAATTATAAACAAGATGCTCCAAATTGTAGACAATGATGTCGCTGATTTATTTTCAACAAAGATGGCGCTGATTTTAATTCAAACTGGCGGAGGTTTGGAAGAAATCCGCAATCCGCATGGAACGATTTTGATCTAGCATTATATTTATGAATATTTAGAACAAACCAAAGAAAAGAGAGGGGGGAAATCAACGAAAATACATTTACAGAAGTAGAGCATAAAAGAAGCACAGTTTGGATGTAGGGATACCAGACATACTGCTGAAGACAGACTAGACAGGATAGATATCCATAGTTTAGGAGTAGAGGATATATACCTGACATACTGCTGAAGACAGACTAGACAGGATGGATATCCATAGTTTAGGAGTAGAGGATATATACCTGACATACTGCTGAAGACAGACTAGACAGGATAGATATCCATAGTTTAGGAGTAGAGGATATATACCTGACATACTGCTGAAGACAGGCTAGACAGGATAGATATCCATAGTTTAGAAGTAGAGGATATATATCTGACATACTGCTGTAGACAGACTAGACAGGATAGATATCCATAGTTTAGGTGTAGAGGATTTATGCCTGACATACTGCTGTATACAGACTGGACCGGATAGATATCCATAGTTTAGGCGTAGAGGATATATATCTGACATACTGCTGTATACAGACTAGACAGGATAGATATCCATAGTTTAGGAGTAGAGGATATATACCTGACATACTGCTGAAGACAGGCTAGACAGGATAGATATCCATAGTTTAGAAGTAGAGGATATATACCTGACATACTGCTGTAGACAGACTAGACAGGATA